GGCTCCTCGCTTTCTCTCCTCTCTTTGGGTGGGCATCTCCTTTGAGTGGCAAGATGGCCGCCAACAGCCCAAATCCCACACTGGCAGATTAGCGCCTGAGCAGACAGAAAGTCTTTCCAAAAACCGCAACAAGAAAAGCCAAAAAAACAAAAAAAACGGCCTCTCTGGGGTCAATGGCCTACCCTGTCCCACAATCAGTGCTGCCAAAGGGATGGAAGTATTCCAAGCACAAGTCTATGTCCAACCCCTCGTTAAGGAATAAGAGAGGTAAAGGGAGGAGAAAGAGATAAGGAAATCCCTAAACTATATGGAATTTGTTTTTCACAGGAAAGGGGGCTCAGTTCCCAGCGACGGGGAAAGGGATGCTGGGCAGGCAAAACTCTATGTCCACTTAATTGCTAAACTCTACCAATTAAACAAACTCTCAAAGTTGTAGCTCAATTCATGTATCTTCCCACCAGCAAAAATGATAATTTCTCAAGATCGTAGATGAGATACTGTCAAACTACTGCGAAGAGCTCAGTGTTAGACCCATGTAAATCGGATTGCTAAAGTAAACGAGCATTCTAAAATAAATAGTACCTGCCTGGTATAACCTGTTTCACCAGTTCAGGAGAGCCTATATATTGTCACCTCTCTTATTTCACCAATCAGTTGCTGAAACCCCCACATGCCTTATTAAAAGTATATATTCTAACTTCCTCTTGAAGTTTTCCCTCCCTCCTAAATTATCAGGGGTCTTGACAGCTCTGAGGTTCAAGGGCAGAGAAGGGTCATTCTGGCTTCCACACCAGCCGGGAACAAACGTGAAACTCCTTGGTCCACTGCCATTGCTTCATGAGACCACAGGATGTCACTGTTGAAAAGTGGTCCCACACAAGGGGATCAAATAATTTGTTGTACAAATTGAGACACATTTGATAATAGAAAGGATCACTATTTTTTTTATTTATTTTTTTCTTGAGACAGGGTCTCACTTTGTTGCCCTGGCTAGAGTGAGTGCCGTGGCGTTAGCCTAGCTCACAGCAACCTCAAACTCCTGGGCT